TGACACCCCCTCCTCTGTTACAGTGCAGGATTTCAACACTGAGATTAAAAACAACAACAACAACATAAAATTTCTGGGTCAGTCCAAAGGTCCTATTTGCCATAAGGGCCAACCAGAGTTCCCCTGAAGACCTCAAAGCAGGGGGGTCTTGTTGCTGTCTCCCAGAATCTTCACTGCCGAGGGTTGTAATTTGGGTTGTCAGCTCTGAACTGGGAAATACCTGGAGATTCTGGGGGTGGAGGCAGAAGAGGACAGAGTTTGGAGAGGGGAGAGACTTCAATGGGGTTCAATGGGGTTTAATCCCAGAGAGTCCACCTTCCAAAGCAGCCATTCTCTCCAGGTGAACAGATACTGAGTTTGCTACGCAAGGAGGGCAGGATATAAATTGAATAAAATAAATACCTATTGCCTGGAGATCAGTTGTAAGAGTGGGAGGTCTCCAGCCATTACCTGGAGGTTGGCCACCCTGGCATAATGTCACACCGCCGCTGCCAGTCAGATGAAAGGCGAGCGGCATCGATCTGCCTGCCAGTGGGGGAGTCTCGCCACACTGCACCATCTGGAGCGGGCGCGCCAAGGAAGGAGGAGGTGGCCCGCGACTGCTGGCTGCAACTAACAATCCGCAGTGGAGCCGGAGGCGACCTGACCCCACCCCAGGGCCTCTGCCCACAGAGTTCCGACTTCTCCCCCCCTTCCCAGATGGACCCGGCCTGCTGGGCTTGGCGCACCAGCGGGCTCCGTTCCCTCGTGCAGCCTTGCCGCCGGCTGGGTTGGGTTGGACTGGGGAGCCACTGTGTCTCTTTCAGGGGCAGGGTCAAGTCGCCTCCGGCTCCACTGCGGCTTGCTAGTTTTGGTCTGCAGTCGCGGGCCTCCCGTGTGGAGCCGCCACCGCCTCCCCATTCCTCGGCCTGCCCGCTCCAGATAGCGCAGCGTGGCGAGACTCCCCCACTGGTAGGCAGATCGATGCCGCTCGCCTTTCATCTGAGTTGTGGCGCTTGGGGGAGGGGAGGAAGAGGAGGAGGCTTTTGGCGGGGGGTGCAGTTTGGCGCCCCTAAGCACGAGGCAGAGTAGCTGGCACTACTTTAGATATGAATGAGATAGACCCATGAAAAACAGATATGGCTGGTACCATCACATGTAATGTTTTCTTTCAGCAAAGGGAGACTAATGTAGCCAGGGCAATTTGCAAAGCGTAAAGAACTTTCAGAGACAGGAATATCGTTTCCCCTTGAAATTCATCACTAGAAGATTTTTAAACAAATTAACTGTTTTGATGTTGCAATTTGATCTTCGACGTGGTCTCTGTGCTTCACACCCATGGGATCTAGTGCGCACACGCTGGATCGATCGGCATTGTAGCAAGCTCTTTAACGGATTTTCGCGCCCAGACCTCGGGCATGCGCAGGAACCTCACCGCACATGCCCAGAGGGGTGGGCGTGGACATCCCGCCAGTTCCTTTCTTACCACCGTGTTGGAAAGACCTCTTCCTCGTCAGTCTGATCGGTTCACTTTTTTGGCTATTTGCCTCACGGCTCTTTGGATTTTTCCTCACTTTGGCTGCGGTCACACGCAACATTAGCCACGCAAGAGATACAGAAGACAGGCGGAGTTTCCGGGCGCGATCTCACCAGCACATCTGGGAAGCGTAGCGCTTCCGTGGCACAACCGAGGCTTCCTGCCGAAAACGCGCAGCAAAAAACTAGTACCTTGGAGGTACTAGTTTCCGGAAACTGCGGCGCAAGGGCGGGCGTCTGATCGCGTTTCCGGTGGCATCCGGCGCCTGCCCATGTCCCCTTGCGGAAAAGGTTTTTTTCCCCCCCAAGTCTCTGTGGTTGCGCACACGCACCCAACGGAGCATGCGCATTCGTAGTGTACACAAAAAAAGAAAACCAGTTCGCCGCGCCGCACGCTTCTTCGTTGCGCGCAGGCGTGTGATGTGATCGACACCTCTCCCTAACCACGGAAGCTCCACGGTACCTCTACAGAACCTCCACAGGAGGTCTGATCGCTTAACTGCGTGTTAGTTTGCCCCGGGGCAAACAGCCACGCTTCCCCACCGCAGTTTCCTGCCCGTGTGACCGGGGCCATAATTATCTTTTCTTTAGTGTTTCTTTGTTCTTAAAAAAAACTTTTTTAAAAAAACTTTATTTTCCACTGAGGGGGAAGTTGCCGGTTTACCTCAGTTTGGCCTTCGGGCTACCCCCACCCCACCCCTTCTTTCTTCTTCGCTGTTTATTTTTATGGAGAAGAAGTGGGGCTTTTTTAACCGGTGCAAGGGTTGTGGTAGTAAACTTGCTCCACCTGACTGCCATACCCTCTGTATTTTTTGTCTGGGGGAATCTCACCGACCTGAGTCCTGTCGGCACTGTGCTCGGTTTTCGAACCAGACGAGAAAAAATCGAGCAGCGCGCCTGAAAGTGGTGCTCCTTGAGGCGGCGTTACATCCTCCGTCAATCATGGAGTCCAAGAGGCCTTCAACATCGATGGCTCTGGCATCAAGGCCTTCCTCCGATATCGCTCAACCGACTTCGTAACCACCGCCATCGAAGGCGCAATCCGCCGCTTCCACGCTGATAAAAAAGAAGTCCAAGCCAAGTAAGGAGCATAAGTCACCAAAAAAAGGGTTCCTCTAAGCCCCTGAAAGCAGCAAAGAAGCAAAGAAGGGGAAGGTAGCGGTGCCTGCACTGGGTGATACCCCTAAAGTGCCTCCCGCTTCTACAGTTGTATCAATACCGGAAGCCCAAGCCCCTCCACCGATACCAACCATTCAACTTTTGGACTCCCCTATACACCAAGTGGAACGTCCTTACTCCGATATTGAGATGGTAGAGCTCCTAAGTAATCAGATGGATGCAGAGCCTTCTCCATCTCCTTCCCCGTCGTCGACATCGACGGTATCGGAGGCTCCCGACATCGATTCGCGTCAGAATTGACATATTTACAGCAGCACGCAGTGTCACCCTCCATGTCTGCATATTCAATCTGTTGATATCGATGACCGAGATTATAGAGAATGCTCTCAAAGGCAGACCGCCGCTTTGTCTCCAAGACATCCACGGTCCAGAAGTCGATCCCCTCGAGTCTTTTTACCCCCCCCCCCACCGTTGTCCTGGGATCAACGACAATTTAGGTATCTTTATGGGGGTTATCTACCATCCATGCCATGGTTGACTCGGGCGGGCTATTCCGACTGGGATCGTTATTCGTCCCACTCTGCCCACAGATCATGGTCGCCCTACAAGTCGAGACTTTCAGCATCTTTGTCTTGTCCTCCTGCCGACGACCCTTCCCACCATAATCTGGAACCTAGTCATCCTCCCAATCCCCAAGTTGTACCACCAAAATCCTTAACCAGTCAAACTCAGGCCACTCCGGTACAAATGCCAGACCACACCTCCCCTGACCACAAGTCTCCTAACCAGGCTGCCGCTGAGGATCTTCCCATATCCCCATCTGACAATCTCACAGCATATACGAACCTCGTCAGGAGAATGGCCTATTCTCTAGGCCTCTCTGTCGTCTAACAACACCCGCAGGTGACAGATGCAGTTTTCGATATCGTGCAGCTGGATACCTCCACTACTTTGGCATTGTCTATGTCTACAGTTCTTTTACAAGCCGCGAAAGTTCCCTGGGAAAAGCCTTCATCAGCCCCAGTGTCGACAAGACGCCTGGATCACATGTACAGAGTCCTGGAAACTGGAGCTGAATTTTTATTTTCCCACCCTCAACCAAACTCGATGGTTGTAACATCATCCTCCAAATCCAAAAGAACACACTCTGCACCTTCTGACAGGGAAAGTAAGAAATTGGATGCCTTTGGCAGACGATTCTACTCCACGGGAGCGTTGGGAGTAAAAACCACTAATTACTTAGCCTGCATGAGCAGGTATCAATACACTTTGTGGGAAAGATTTTCTGAAATCCTAACTCATCTTCCAGAAGATAAGCTTCAGGCAGCTAGGATTATTCAAAAGGAAGGCATGGTGTTGGCAAAACAGCAGATCAATACGTCAAAACATGCCCTAGACGCGTCCTCAAGGACTATGGCCTCTGCAATAGCTCTGCGGAGACATTCCTGGCTCCGTAATACCAATCTCCTTCAAGATACTGGGCCTTATGTCGAAGACCTCTCGTTTGATGGCCTCGGTCTCTTCAACAGCACTACCGATTCCAAGATATGGATAAGAGCATAAAGGCTTCTCGTGCTTTAGGAGTGTCATCCTCCGCGAGACAACAATACCGTCCCCGCGCTTGGTCGAGGCCCTGGCAAAAGCGTACCCCAAGTCGTCAGTCTCCTGACAGACAATGGAGACCACGTACGTCTTCAGGAGGCCAAAAACCCACCTTCCAAAAACCTAGGTTTGGATCCAGGCAACAATCTTCCCGCACCAAACATGCGAAATCCTCCAAACAGGGTCAGCTCAAACCCATCTGTTTCCTTTTCTTCACGCCTGGCATCATATCACCACGGACAACTGGGTGCTGTCCATCATGTCCCGAGGCTACCATATCCAATTCCAACAGAACCCCATTACATTGGTCTTCGTCACCACACCCCCTTCCCAACCTCTCCTAGAAGAAGTGTCCGTCCTTCTACATAAGGGAGCCATCGAGCCCTCCAAACAGGGTTTTGACTTCCCTTCCACCGAGTCAGCTCAAACCCATCTGTTTCCTTTTCTTCACGCCTGGCATCATATCACCACGGACAACTGGGTGCTGTCCATCATGTCCCGAGGCTACCATATCCAATTCCAACAGAACCCCATTACATTGGTCTTCGTCACCACACCCCCTTCCCAACCTCTCCTAGAAGAAGTGTCCGTCCTTTTACATAAGGGAGCCATTGAGCCGGTACCACCATGTCTCCACGGGAAGGGATTCTACTCCCACTATTTTACAGTTCCAAAACAGGATGGAGGTGTTTGACCCATATTAGATCTAAGGGCTCTGAACCACTTTGTTACCTACCACCGCTTCCGCACGGTGTCCTTACAACAGATTATGCCGCTTCTTCAGAAGCACGTCTCGATGGCCACCCTCGACCTCCAAGACGCATACTTCCACCTCACCATCCACCCCTCCCACCGCCAATACCTACGCTTTGCAATTGGTCAACAGCATTATCAATATGCAGCCCTGCCATTCAGCCTGTCAAGTGCCCCAAGAGTCTTTACAATGATTGTGGTTGCAGCTTTCCTCCGTCTCAGGGGTATCTCCATCTACCCCTATATCGACGATTGGCTCCTGGTAGCGCCTTCAAAGAACGCCCTGGTCTCAAACATCACCGAGACGTTGGCACTATTAGAAAATCTAGGCCTACAGGTCAACCACGACAAGTCTCAATTGCGCCCAGTCCAAAGAATACAGTACATCGGTGCGATACTGGATTCCAAGACATGCATGGCTTACCTGGTACAAGACAGAGCGGCATACATCCTTTCCTTAACCAATGTCGTCCGTACCCAGCCTTCAGTCACAGCTTTCCAAATTCAGAGACTCCTCGGCCTTATGGCCGCAACTACGTTGGTCCTCGTCTTCGCCAGACTAAAGATGTGTCGTCTACAACTGTGGTTTATCTGCAAGTATGACCCAACAAAAAACGCACATACTGTCCTCCTAACCCCTCCTCCCAACCTACGAGACTCTTTACTTTGGTGGACTGTCCCTTCCAATCTCTTCCAGGGAGCGCCTTTCCATCGTCCATCACCCCAAATTACCTTGACCATGGATGCTTCCCTGTCGGGCTGGTATGCACATATGATGGGACTTTGTGTCGGAGGCAAGTGGAACACCCACGAACAAGGTCGGCACATAAACATCCTGGAATTGCTAGCAATACAGTTCGCTATCACGAGCTTCCTACCAATGATCAAAGGGAAATGTGTTACGGTCCTCACAGACAATACCACTACACTCAGCTATATCAACAAACAAGGAGGCACGATCTCCCTACGTCTCTGCAACCTTGCCATCCAGATATGGGACCTTTGTATCGCTCACGATGTCTTCTTGATAGCCACGCACATCCCAGGACGCCTGAATGTGCAGGCAGACTATCTAAGTTGAGTAGGCCTCAGTCTCCACGTGTGGGAAATGAACCCAATCTACCTCCTCCCACTCTTCCGCAAGTGTCGGAGGCAAGTGGAACACTCACGAACAAAGACAACACATAAACTTCCTGGAACTGCTTGCAATACAGTTCACTGTCACGAGTTTCCTACCAATGCTCGAGAGGAAATGTGTTACGGTCCTCACAGACAACACCACTGCACTCAGTTATGTCAACAAGCAGGGAGGCACGGTCTCCCTACGCCTTTGCAACCTTGCCATTCAGTTATGGGACCTTTACATCGCCCACGACGTCTTCCTGGTAGCCACGCACATTCCAGGGCACATGAATGTGCAGACAGACCATCTAAGTCGAGCAGGACTCAGCCTCCACGAGTGGGAAATGAACCCAACATACCTTCTCCCACTCTTCTACAGGTGGGGAGTTTCCCAAGTCGATGTTTTTGCCACCAGGGCGAACAAAAAAAGCCCTCTGTTCTGTAGCCGAGGAGCCAGGGACCCACAGTCTCTAGGGGACGGTCTCCTCTACCCGTGGTCCAGGGAACTTCTCTATCTCTTCCCTCTGCTACGCCTGCTCCTGAGAGTAGTACGCAAAACCATCAGCGACGGAGCGGACTGCATCTTAATAATCCCATGGTGGCCGAGACAACCGTGGTTTTCGACCACCCTCGATTTATCGGCGGGAATATACCACCAATTCCCTCTGGCACAGGACCTCCTCTTCCTGTCCGACTCCCCTCTCCTACATCACGACGTACCTCGCTTGAAATTGACAGCGTGGAGAATAATGTCAACGGGTTTTCCACCCAAGTAGCTAACGTCCTGCTAAACACCAGAAAGCCTACTATGTGAAAGTCCTACTATTACAAATGGCAAAGGTTTTGTTCTTCCCTGGGTGATGATGCCCCTCGAGCCACCTCCGCAGGTCTCGAGAAAGTTTTCAAATTCCTCCTGTCCCTCGCTGACTCGGGACTTTCCCACTCATTGTTAAGAGTTTATTTGGCCGCAATTTCGGCCTACCATGTTCAAGTTGACGGATGCACAATGTTTTTGCATCCGCTTTCAAAACGTTTTTTAAAAGGTTTATTGCATCTCTACCCTCCTGTCAAAACTCCTGTCGTTCCCTGGGACCTTCCTCTAGTTCTTTGTCAGCTCACGAGGAAACCCTTTGAGCCACTCGCAACTTGCGACCTGAAATTCCTGTCATGGAAGACGGCCTTTCTGGTTGCTGTCACCTCTGTGAGGCGAGTTGGAGAAATACTGGCTTTCAGACATGGCACGCCTTACTTGTCCTTTTTGCCAGACGGTGTCCGCCTTGTCCCTGACATCTCGTTCCTGCCAAAGGTAGTGTCAGAGTTCCACCTATAGGCAGAGGTCTTCCTCCCAGATTTCTTCCCTGCTCCAACATCTTCAGAGGACAGACTGTTACACACATTAGATGTGAAACGTGCGCTCCTGTTCTACCTGAACAGAACCCATCCAATGAGACGTGACTCCCAGCTGTTCGTCTCGTACGCACCATCAAGGCTGGGGACTCACATCATGGCTCAGCGCCTCTCAAGGTGGATTGCGGGTCTCATCCGCCTCTGCTACCTGATTGCCAAACAGCCATTGCCTGGCCCGATCAAGGCCCATTCAACTCGAGCTGTTGCAGCTTCCACTGCCTTCCTCCAGGGAATTCCCCTGACGGACATTTGCAAAGCCACTACGTGGGCCACGCCTAACACCTTCATAAGGCACTACGCCCTAGACGTCCGCAAAAACTCTAATACCAACATGGGACGTCGAATTCTATCTTCGGCTATGCAGTAAAAGACCTGCCAGCACCCTCCTCCAGGTAGGCCACTGCTCGCTAATCTCCCATGGGTGTGAAGCACAGAGACCACGTCGAAGATAAACAGGTTGCTTACCTGTAACTGGTGATCTTCAAGTGGTCATCTGTGCATTCACACCACCCGCCCTCCTTCCCTGCTGCTGTCAGCTTCTACATTTTCAATAGGGGTTGATTCGTGGCGGTTTGAAGGAACTGGCGGGATGTCCGTGCCCACTCCTCTGGGCAAACGCGGTGGGGTTCCTGCGCATGCCCGAGGTTTGGGCGCGAAAATCCGTTAAAGAGCTTGCTACAATGCCGATTGATCCAGCGCATGCGCACTAGATCCCATGGGTGTGAATGCACAGATGACCACTTGAAGATCACCAGTTACAGGTAAGCAACCTGTTTTTCTCTTGCCTCCCTGTTTTTACATCAGTTAGTAGCATCAGAACTTATTTTTAAGAAAACAGACAAAGCAGGCTAATAGAAAGCAAGATAAGATCAAATAAGATAAATATTTGTTTTCAGAGCTGGTGTATTGTAAAAAATGATCTCTGTCTGACTGTAGTTATATGAAAGGTATTTTAAATGCTTTAGTTAAAATAACATTTTGATGTGCATTATTTGGCAAAAACGCTTTCTTGTAGGTTTACTGTGATTATCATGGTCATTCTCGCAAGAAGAATGTGTTCATGTATGGCTGCAGTATCAAGGAAACAATGTGGCACACAAATGTTAGTGCAGCTTCTTGTGATCTGATTGAAGACTTAAGTTACAGGGTGAGCTTTTTTGTTTTACTATGCTTCTGTGCGTCTTGACTCAAACTGTAACAGTAGCTTTATAATTCATATTTAGATTTTGCTTAATCGTTAAATTGCATTCACTGCGTAATATGTTCAGTAGCTTGAATATCAAATACTACTATGTTCTTGCACAAATTCTACTCTTTTCAATGGAATCTGTGCAGAAAAAAATGTTCCCTAACAAAAGAATAGTGTTCAGCAGGAGGAGCCATAGCTAAAATGATGGAGTAGTGTGTTATTTTCATGCTGTAGGTCCCATATTCAATCCCCAGTTTAAAATGTAAAGAATCTTGCTTAGCAAAGCTGGCATAAGATCCCTGCCCAATAGTTAAGAGAGCTGCAGGTGGTTGGAGAAGACAAATGCTGGGCCAGGTAAGCTAATGGTTTAATTCTGTATGTCAGTCTCCTTTATTCTGTGAGGGATTATGATATCATAGAGAGGAGAAAAAATGTTAAAAAGCTAAGCCTAGAAAACTAGTCTGAAAATATTCACAAATAGTTATTTATCAGTTAGTGTTGCTGTAATTTAGTTTTGCAGTAGTGTTGGTCTTCATCTAGCTATGAATGGAACTGGTAGCCAACTCCTCTGGGGAGTTCTCTGCAGAGGCAGTGGCTATTTTATTATTTATTTATTTGTTAGATTTATACCCCGCTCTCCAGGGCCGGATTTAGACTTGCTGAGGCCCTAAGATATACAAAACCCAGAGGCCCCCTACTGTTTTAAATTATATCAGCTGGTCTCAAAATTTTTTAAAATATATACACCTTTTTAATATTTGAAATCACTTTTTATATTGTGTTCTTATTCGAGGCCCCAGCAGATTGCGAGACCCGAAGCTGTAGCTTATTTAGCTTATGTGTAAATCCGGCACTGCCGCCCTCCCCAGCAGGCTCAGGGTAGCTACAACAAAGGCAATTGCCATAACAACAGTTAAAACATCATAAAACAATCATTACACAATAAAAACAATCATTAAGTAAAGTGCGGTGCTCTTGATGTTGAAATGTTTTTCTCAGTCCAAGATGGGTTCATTCATTAACCTAACCTGACAGCATGCATTCTTTGGTTACCTAGGCGTCTGGGCGTCTGCCCAGGGCCGGCTCACCTCCAGATCTAGTCCACCGTCAGAGATGGCAGCTCAGTGGTGGTACAGTGGCGGCGGCGGCTCCTATACAAAGACCTGGCGGAAGAGCTCCGTCTTGCCAGGTCCCGCAGGGCCCGAATCTGTTCTGGGAGCTCGTTCCACCAGACAGGAGCTGCCGCCGAAAAAGCCCTGGCCCTGGTTGCAGCCA